AGCACTGCCCTGGGGTGCTGTTGCATCCCTGCCAAAGGCCTGGCTGCACCCTGCAAGCTGCCACGCAGCTGCCCAGCCCCTTGCACCCTGGCTCTGTAGCTGTTTGTCCTTTGCCTCCTGTTGAGCCCCCACTGACTCCCCTTCTCTCTTTCTCTCTCTCTTTCTGTTTTGCTCCTTCTCTCCTCCTCTGTGCAGCTCAAGTGGCCTTTTTTGGGGGATACCCCTCCACCGGGAGCTGGCCCAGGCCCCCACACAGTGCCCTCCTCCCTCTAGTCCTCGGACTCTGCCTTTGCCTCTATGCACTTTAACCCTGCCCGGAACACGCCAGAGCAGACTTGGTGGAAGGACTGGCCAGCCTTTGCCTCTCTCTTTCTCTCTCTTTCTCTCCACGTCAAACCACCCTGGAAGTGCCGGCTGTGCCCTACTGGGCGGCCTGTGCTGGGATGGGCATGGAGCCCAGCTGCCCGTCCGGGGAGGGGGGCTCACCCCTTGCACCGTGTCTGGGGCAGCCAGCACCCCTTCGCTGGCACCTCCCCACCTGGTCGCTTGCTCCGTCACCTCGATACCGTACCATGTGCCTGCTGGTTTGGCCTGCAACGTGTGTGCTTCACCTGCCCCCTTCTCAGTGATGGGGACCCCCCTCCTCAGCCCTGGCAGAGGAGGGTCCCCCAGCCCTGTGGGGGAAGGAACCTCCTGGTCTGTTTTTTAATATATTGACCCCACTGTTTGGAGTCGAACCCTGCTCAGTCTTCCAGCCCTTCTCCTGGAGAACCCCCCCAATAAACTGTATCCTGTCTATTAGCCCAGCCTGCTGGGCTGTGTGAGGCAAGGCTGTGCCCATGCTTCTGCCAACCCTGCCCTGGGGCTGTACAGGTAGGGGGGTCAGGGGCGGAGAGGTCCCCAGCATCTCTCAGCTTTCCGTGCCCCTGGCCAGGAGCTAGCTGGAAGGTGCTCTGCCCCTGCCCCTCCCTGGTCCCAGCCCTGTGAATGCATCCAGATGTGCAGCACTGGAAGGCTTGGGGTGCAGCAGGGCCATGCTGCCTTCCCGCCATGGGTTCTAACCACAGCTGCTCTCTTCCCCACCACCAGACATCAACGAGTGTGCCCAGGGCTTGCACAACTGCAGCCAGCTCTGCACCAACACCCCTGGGACACACACCTGCCACTGCCGCCCAGGCTTCCGCCCCCTCGATCCTGCTGCCAGCCAGTGCCTGGGTGAGTACCTGCAGGCAGAGGGGGCTGGCAGCCCCCGGCACCCACTCAGCTGCTGCTGCCAGGCACTGCCCTGCTGCCTTGCGAGCAGGGGTGCTGTTTCTTGGGGTGCCCTGTTGTGTTCACGGCCCATGACCCAGCCAACCCAAAACAGGGGGGCAGGATGGACAGACTGGGGCTGTGCAGGAGCTGATGGAGAGAGGAGGCATCTGCCACCTGACAGCCTTGGGGACAAGGGCTGCCAGGACCACAGCTGTGTGGCTGCAGGCATTGGAGATCATTTGTATCCCAGCTTTACCTAGCCTCGTAGCCGCCCACCCATGCCCCATCCATCCTCTGCCCTGCCCATGCCAGACAAGCCCTGTACCTGGGCGCAGCTCTGACCCTCTCCCCTTCTTTTCCAGACGTGGATGAGTGCCAGGCACAGCCTGGCCCCTGGGACCATATCTGCCACAACAGCCCTGGCTCCTTCCACTGCCACTGCCACCCCGGCTTCTCCCTGGGCGCAGATGGGAGCTGCCGGCACAACTAGCCTGCCCTGGTACAGCCATATGCCCCCTGCTCCTCCCAGCCCCATGCCAGTTGCTCCTGGCACCAGATGAATAAACCTTTTCCTGCACCGATTTCCCTGTGGGTCCCTGCCACCGGGGCCACGTGAGTGCTGTATGCCCCCCATGGACTGCCCCAGCCCTCCCCCTTGTTTCCCTCATGCTTACCTTCCTTGTGGGGCTCTGTGCACCCTGGTGTGTTGGGGGATGCTCAGCCTGCCTCTGTGCCCCTCACCATTGCCCCACTCCCCCCTCCCACACAGGATGACATGGCCCAAGGGATGAAGCATGGACTTTATTGAGGAACGTCTCCAGGCAGGGGGCCCCATGGGGAAGGGTAAGGCCAGGGCCATCTCCTACACACACCATAACCGTGCCCAAGGGAGTCCCAGGGGACAGGGTCCTCCCTCCAGGACCCTGGGAGAGCAATGCTGGCATGGTTCAGCCCTGCACCCAGGCAGGGACTGTTCTCCTTGGGGTGATGGATGTCACAGGGACCCTCCTATTCCCTCCCGATCTGACCCTGGCCCATGAACCCCTACACCTTGCAGCTGGGCCCAGGTGCCCCTCGGGGTCCCCACTGCAGGCCGGGCTGAGAACTGGGGTGCTGGTGGCAGATGCATGCAGGAAACATGAGCAGCAGAGGGCTCAGCAGCAGGAGAGGAAGGGTCCTGGTGGAGCTGCTCCACCAAGAACCCTCTCTGCACTGGGGGAGGTCATGGGGCAGAGCAGGCAGGAGACTACCTGCAGCTGGGTGCAGGCACGATCTCCTGGGACTGAGCCGGGAGCCTGGCTCACCCACACCATGGCTCAGCCTCTGCTACGCTGGGCCGTGGACAAGCCCAGGACAAGTGGCACAAAGGCAGGAGCCTGCCCAGCATTGTACCTCTCTGCCCTCAGCACCGGGCTTGGGGCTGGGGAGCTTTCTGGGTCTGGCTGGGAATGGCACCAGCTCGGGCAAGGAGCAGAAGCAAGTGCCCAGTGTAGCGTGCATTGCTAGAGGATCCTGCTGACGTGGATGCTGCTGCCAGATAGGTCAGGGCATCCAGCCAGGGCTGGGGAGCAGCAAGGGGCAGCACATGGGGGAAATGCAGGGCACCATCATGCAGATGAAGCAGCACCAGGGCTCTGCCAGGCCCCCTGGGCAGCGGGCACTCAGTGGCTGAGCTCACCCTGCAGCACCAAGAGCAGAATACCCCAGGGAGGGCATCCAGCAAGGGCTGGCATGGGCAACCCCATGGGCATGGGGCTGAGGCCCCCTCCCCTTAGCGCTGCCTGGGGCTTTGCCAGTCACACTGCTTCCTAATGCACAGCATGCAGAGTACTGCCAGCTGGAGCTGCCCGCAGCAGGGCAAGCTCCTTCGCTTGGGGCAGGGGCAACAGCCCTTTGGCAGA